CCGAGTGCTGGGATTACAGGCGTGCGCCACCACACCCGGCAGTGCCGTTGTTTACAGTCAGGCTCCTAGTAGTTCTCCCTAAAGCCCATACAGGCCACAGTTGTTGCTGCTCAGTGCTACTCACATTGGCTCCCGAGAGGTGCTGGGCACAGTTGAACCTTCTGCCGTACAGTGGGCCCTGTGGAGGGGTCCTGGCCTGCCCCATCTGTACTACTGCTCTCGGTGGCTGCTGGGGTCTCCACATGTGCACAGGAGAGTAAAGCCAGAGCTGCCGGTTTGAGAGGAGGCAGCTCAGGGGCCCCTCCACTCCGTCCTGTGCAGACCCTGCTCCACCGTGCCCTTGTCTTCCCTGGGTGCCTGCCAAGACTTGCTTGTGTTTTTCTTTCTGCTGCTAGGGAGTGAACTCAGGGAACACTGAACTGCACCCACACCTCTTTTTAAATTTTGAGACAGGATCTTGCTAAGTTGCTCAGGCTGGCCCCAAACTTGCCATTCTCCTGCTTGAGCTTCCCAGGTAGCTGAGATTATAGGTATATGTCATCATGTCTGGCTTAGCTTGTGTTTTAGTCCGTTTGATTTTTGGAACTTTTGATTTTCCTTGAACAAACTGGAAAAATTCCTGGCTGGCTGGCTGATTTATATATGTATGTATGTATGTATGTATGTATGTACATATATGCGTGTATGCCTGGTTCCTCTCTCCTAGCATGTCTTACTCTCACAGGCCACTAGAGGGACTCTCAGTTTCAGGGTTTCCCCCTCCTGCTTAGCTGACCCCATCAAAGATCTATGATTCCTAGGTACATAACTCACCTCAGCCAGCTTTAGAAGGTGCTAGGTCTACCCAGCTTGCAGCCGGGTGTCCTCAGAGCTCTCTACTTCCCATGTACAGCCCTGCCTTAGCCTGCAGTGTGACATCCTGCTCATGTACCGCTCCCCTTTTTTCTGTCACTGGGATGCTGAACAGCTCTCCTTTTTTTGGTTTTTGTCCGGTACCAGGAACCGAACTCACGACCTTGCGCTTGCCAGGCAGGCGCTTTGCCGCTGAGCTAAATCCCCAGCCCCTGAACAGCTCTCCTAGTCCCTGATTTGCTGACTTTTCTTTACCCACTTTTTTGTGAGCCTGGGGTCCTGGACACTGGGTGCAGCTTCCTTGGTCTACATGTCCCCGTCTCCTTCCCAGATACCTGAACTGTCACAGGGGGCCGGTTGCCTGGCCTCTGAAGCTGCTACACTGGCCTCAGGGCTTGTGCCCTGGGTCTGCATCAAGATCAGGGAAATTACCAGGTGCACACCTGTAATCCCAAGTACTGTCAGAGGTGAGGCAGAAAGATCACAAGTTCAAGACCAACCTGGGTAATTTAGCAAGATTGACTTAAAATAAAAAAGGGGTTGAGGATGTGGCTCAGGGGTAGAGCACCCCCCTCCAAGAAAAAGTCGAGGAGAAGGCCCCAAAAGCAGAGAGGAAGGTTGCTACCACATCTGCCTTGGCAGGCCCTTGCCAAGGCGTGCTCAGCGCTTCCCGCACCAGGCAGACAGCACACCAAGGAAGACGCAGAAGGACACCTCTGTCCCCAGGGAGGCCACAACCTGAAGACAAAGACATAGGGCAAAGAGACTCTGTCCGAATGTGGGCTGGGTGGTTCTGGTTGAGTTGTTTCTGCAGCAGAGGCATTTTGAGGAAGTCACTGGGACAGACTGGGTGATAGTCTTGTCCCAGTGATGCTTTTTTCCTTGCTAGATCGAAGGTGCCTTGGAATACGGAATTACAAGCGACGACATCTTCTGGCTGAAGGAATCCCCTGGGAAAACGTAAGGCTGGTGTGTGCGGGATGGGCGTCCTCCTTCTGTTCACTGCTGCCCTGCTCTGGTGACATCTTTCCAGTTTCTGTAAATGTGGGAAAGAAAGCTGGATATGTGTACCCCTCTGCAGGGATGTTGACACTGCTTCCCATGGCTGGTGAGACCTGGAAGACGATAACATGGATGTCGCATAAAGTGACCCGGACTTTTTTTTTTTTTTTGGTACCAGGGATTGAATTCAGAGCCCCGTGCTTGCCAGGCAAGCACTGGTACCATTGAGCTACACCCCCGGCTGAGCCAGCCATTTATTATCTAGGTCAGTGGCTGTCCCTAAGGTTCTCATTAGGTCCCCTTAGAGACACTAGGAGGGGCCTCAATCAAATGTCTCTGGTTTTCTGTCTTGTATATTGGGATTCCCTGAAATCTCGTAAAGCCTCCAAAAGCTTCGAAAGCCACAGCCCAGCTGTAGCAGTGATACCAGCAGCATGCAAGCGGCACACCTATGCTAAGTGCTCTTGTTTGCTCCCAGGGCAGAGCTGGTCCAGAGTCCCAGTTCCAGGAAGCTGGTCTTGCCTGTGCGTGCCTGATATCCAGGTTGCAGGGACAAGATCTGCCACCAGAGGGCAGCAGAGGCTTGGCTGCTGGCAGTGGTTGGCTGCCTCTGGATTTACCTACTAGGAGAGCTCTCAGGAGACTGAGGCAGGAGGATCTCTGAACTACGTAGCAAACTACATAGTGAAACTCTGTCTCAAAAAAAAATGTGCACTGTGTGCACGTTGGAGTGTGTGTGTGTGTGTGTGCATGTGCAGCTGGGGAATGTGTACGTGTGTGTCACGTCATAGTCTCACACTTGCAAAGCAGTATCAGGTCTTGAGTCCCTTGCATGGTTATGGTGTAGCTTCCTTTACCTTTCGTCCATGAATGAGCCTCTCAGTAGTTTCTCATCGCTGTACATGCTGCAGTAAAACCCTTTGATACGCATCTATGGACACCATCACTTTTCCTAATTTATAGTAAAATACACATAAAATTTACCATCTTGACCCAAGCTTGGTGGTGCATGCCTGTAATCCTGGCACTCTGGGAGGCTAAGGCAGGAAGATCACAAGTTCAAGCCCAGCCTGGGTAACTTAGCAACCTAGCAAGACCCTGTCTCAAAATTTAAAAAATATTTTAAAAAGAGTTGGGCTGTAGTTCAGTATGGAAGCCCTGTTTAATCCCCAGTACTCCTCCCCCCCGAAAAATTACTATCTTGGTCTTTCCAAGTGTACAGTTCACTGATCTTAAATGTTGTACAGTTGTCACCACCATCATCTCCAGAACTGTTTTCATCTTCCCCACCTGAAATTCCTCATCTGTTAAACAGTAGCTCTTCATCTCCTCTCACCCCCGGCCCTGGAGCCACCATTCTCTTTTCTGTTTTTATGAATGTGACAACTCTCACCACCTGCTGCTGTGGACACATAGCATTTGTTGTTTTGTGACTGGCCTATTTCACTGGCATCGTATTGTCAGGGTTCCTCCATGCTGGAGCACATGTCAGCATTTCCTTTCTTTGTGAGGCTGAATAATGCCATACTGTTTGTATATGTCATGTTTTGTTGATAGCATGTTTTGTGTACTGTGGGCATTTGAGTTGCTTGTGCCTCCTGGCTGTTGTGGCTAACGCAGCTGCGAACATAGGGGTACACATAGTGTTTTGTTCCTACTTTCGATTCTTTTGGGTGTAGACCTAGAAGCGGAAGTGCTGGGACTTTTTGAGACACTGCCCAACTGTCTTCCACAGCAGCAGCAGCATCTTGCATTCCCACCGACCATGTGGCAGGGCTCCAGTGTCTCCACAATCCTAGCAACATTTGTTATTTCCTGGTCCTGATGGGTGAGGTAGTTTCACACATTTTATATATACCGAATAGAGTCTTTCTTAGAAATAGAAAATCCCGGTCCAAGGGTCGATGACCTTCAACCTCACGACATTTTGCTATAGGCCAGCTGCACCCTGTCCTATGTGCACTTTTATCTGCTTCTCCTTGTCCCTCTATATCTTGCCATCAGCTTGTTTGTGAAATATTAGTGGGCCAGTAGCAGCGGCACATACTTATCATCCAGGCTACCTTGGAGTCTTAGGCAAGACAATCACAAATTCGAGCCTAGCCCAGGCAACTTGGTGACACTTGGTCTCAAAAAAAAAAAAAAAAAAAAAATTAAAAGGGCTGGAGATATAGCTCAGTGCTCCCTGGGTGTAGTCCTCAGCACAAAAATATAAAATGAAAAGGACTGTGCCTTCCAGCTACTGTGCGGTAGCCATGGTCCCTGCTGCCTGCGGCTCGTCAGCCCCACCCTGTCTACAGCTGAGCTCATGCCAGTTTGTATCCATCTGTCTGCGGTCTCCCACCAGCTTCTCAGATTGTAGTTTGTCTTTTGATGTCATAATATTTTTTTGCAATTATTTATGTATTTATGGTCCTGGGCATTGAACTCATGCCCTCACACATGCCAGGCAAGCACTTTGCCACTGACCTACACACCCAACCCAAATTTTTAATTCTTTTTTTTTTTTTTGTAAAATTTTTAATTCTTTAGGTTGTCACGTTTATCACTTTTTTCCTCTATGCTGTAATTTCTAGGTTATCTGGATTTTTGGTGCAGTTTGGTTTGGTTGGTTTTGTTTGGTTGTTTATTTATTTAGCAATACTGGAAATTGTTCCCAGGGCCTTGCACATGCTAAGCAAGTATTCTGCCACTTAGCTACACACCCCAGTCTCTTGTGTTTTTTATTTTTTAAATTATTTGTTTATTTATATATGTTTTTGAGTGTGTAGTACTGGAGATTGAACTCAGGGGCCTTCGCACTGCGCTATATCCTGAGTCTTTTTTATTTTTTCATTTATTTATTTATTTTTTCTGGTACCGGGAATTGAACTCATGACCTTGCGCTTGCCAGGCAGGCACTGTGCTGCTGAGCTAAATCCCCCTGAGTCTTTTTTATTATTATTATTATTTTGAGGCAGGATCTTGCTAAATTGTCCAGGCAGGGTTCAAATTTGTGATTCTCCCAACTCAGCCTCCCAGAATGCTGGAATTACAGGCGTGCACCACCACTCCTGGCTTGATATTTTTATCTTTGAGTATCTGCTAGATTAAACATATTCTGATTCTGTTTACTACCATCAGCCATCATTTTGTGTATCTACTGGCCTTCCTTGAAACTGAGAGTGTCTGTGTAGTGTGTGAGCCTGGATATGTGTGTGTGTGTGTGTGGGTGTGTGTGTATGCGCACGTTCATGCGTGCGTACACTTGTGAGTCATCGCTTTGGTCCTTGGCCCACTTTCTATCCAGTTGGTTTCTCTCCTTCTCTTATCTTTTCCTTATCTTCCAGCTGGTTTGTGTATTAGAGATGGGATCTGGTGTTATACACGGAGCAGATTTTCTCAGCTTCTCATGTCTTTTAACTTGTGTAATGTACAAATGGTTTTCCTTTTTTTTCGATGTAACTTAAATCTCTTTCTACAGTTAATGGCTTTTAGATTTATTACATGTTCAGAAAGGCCTGTCCCACCTCCAAGATTTTTTTTTTTAAGTCCTTGTGTTTTCCTGTAGGGCTTCCACGGCATCTCTACTGTATATCCTAGGGCTGGTTGCCATTATTGGTGGGCTACCAGGGTGCCCCTGCCGGGTGACAGCTTAGCCCCTGGTACCTATCTGACGGGACCATCCCCACTCAGGGCCCCCAGTTCTGCCTCTGGCCACTGGGACTGCTGTTTTCAGATTGTCTTGGTTTCCTTCACACTGATTTTCCTTGGTGGAATTTAGACACGCTTTCCCAGTTCTCCGTAATGCTCTGTGTGCCGGACGTGTCTTGAAACAGCCTTGAACCTGTGGCAGCCTAGGAGGCCAGTCTGTGCCCTGCTCCTCTGCCAGGCCTCCTGTAGGCTCAGGTGCTTATCTTGGCCTATCACGGCGGCAGCATTCTCTGAGTTCTGCGCCTGCACGGTTCCAGGGAGGGGCGCCCCGTGGGGGGGATACACAGTGGTGAAGCCCAGGGAGGATCAGGCTCAGTGGCCAAGATCTGGCTCTTCCAGCCTGTGGCTCAAGGACTCCTTCTCTGTGACTGTGTCTTGGGCAGCCAGCTCAGCCAGGAAGACATGGCCCCAGATATTTTGGTCAGGAAAGAAACTGCAGTGTTTATTTTCTTCAGAACAAAAACATTTAGGAGATTTTTTTTTTTTAAAGCTCTTTAGTTTAGAAGGAATCTAGGTATGTTATTGTTTAAGAAAAAAAGTGTTTGCAATGTATCAGTCACCCGTTTCATTCTGAGCATGATTTATGTGAGGAAATGGTTTTTTTAAAAATTAAGCTGGAGATATATCCCTGTACGATGCTTCTGTGAAAATGCAGCTTTTGTCCGACGCTGTTAATGCAAGTTGTAACAGTGTAATACGGGAGTGAGTGTTTACATGTTACATTCCTCTGCAGCAGTCAAAATAAGCCCGGAGGGTCTACAGTAGCATTTCTGTATTTTATCAGCTTGGGCTGGGGCTGAGGGGGAGGCCTCCACTCACACTTGGAGGGGCTGTTTCTGCCAGATTTATTTGCCTTATAAATATTCCCCATGTTTATTTTAACTCGCCTTTAAAATGGAGCTGAAATTAATATGGACCCTAGGGCTGGCCCTCTGGCCCCAAAGTGCCTCCTGGAGTCGGGCAGTGACATTTTGCCTGCTTGGTCCTGGCCTGGAGGCGGGTGGGCCCAGCGTGCCTGGGCCTCTACTGGCGGTGGACACTGAGTCTGCTGGTTGGCAGCTCTGCTGAGGACGGCTCCCGTCGGCCCCAGCCAGGTCCCCGATGCAGTCTTCAGGGTGCACCCCAGCCTCCTTGTCTCTCCCCGTACACGGGCACAGGTAGCAGCTGTGACTTTCAGGTGCATCCCTGTGGGGCCCAGGGACCAGTAGTTCTAGGTCAGCCCTGAAGTGAGTCGGGCCTGTGATGGGACCGACACTGCTTCAGCC